TGATATGAGAACTTCCTCAAAGTGATCCGAGCTCGGATCAACTGACCTCGGATCCATTACTCCAGAAGTTCAGACGAGGCCTCGGATTCCTCTTTGGTATGGATGGATCCGAGCTCGGATCCATCTCAATTTGCTTTCATCTTCTCTTTGTCTCCATTTTCGTTCCTTGTTTTCTTTGCTCAACACAGAATCACTAATGCTCATCTCTTTTTAATCATATGTGCGAGGGTCATGCATTGATAACCTTCAAAATATCACAAGTTTATGCATTAATCTATTCATTTTTCGAGTTTCCATTATTCAAACAACATTTAAGCAATTTGTACCAAAAAGAGTTCCAATATGACTTTAATCCTCTCAAAACATACCAAAAAGTTCATGCCAAACTGTACAAAATGTACGTTAAATATTCACTTATTAAATTTCTCCACACTTAAATCATTGCTTGTTCTCAAGCAATTCACACATAATCAGTTTCAATGATTTTAAGAGGTAAAATAATACATGTACTTTTGTTGAATTTAATTTCTCATGACTAGAAAATCAATCATTATGCCATTGTTCAAATTGCATTAAATACTCATAATATCAAGTAAAGAAAAGATAATTATACCCTAATTTAACAAGTTAAACTTAATTTCTCACTCTAACCTAATTTCACAAGTAAACAAACCACATAGTCAATTTATAGTCTTCCTCCTCCTATAACCATCTTTTTCTCAAAATTTAACAACTAAGAGGAACTTTATTTTACTTAAATAGTGAACATGTCTTTTGAAGCGAAAATCGACATTTTTAGGTGAAAATCCCCGATTACTTAACATTTCACTTACTCAAATTGTTATGCATGCTCTTAACTCCAGTACTTTTTTACCCAAATGTCAACATTTGTAGATGCCAACCCTCGGTTACTTGGCACGAGAATTATTGGAGTAGAACAAATATTATTATTTATATATTTTAACAAATCAATAACTAAATATTCCCTCATTGAAAATGTTTAAGAATAATTAAAGGAAGAGTATGGCTTCTTATTGACTATATCAATCACTTACTTATAAAATTAAACAAAGAGGAGAAATCTTATTAAACATGTAAAATTATAGGCATAATTTTCCTTACTTAACCGAATATACTTTCTAAAATGCAAAAATTTTAATTACATAATAACCAATTCCAAGTTAAATGAAGATTAAAACTTTTCAAAATACATATAAAGTTTCCAAAAATGAAAGAATTAGACACTTAATGTGAACAATTTGGCCGTTTTTGAAAAATTGCAAAGCCATAATTAAATACTGAAAAATATTTTAGAAAAATTTTAACAGAATTTCCCTTATAAATGGACAAAACTCCCTGTCAACATACCCAATTTCAAGAAAATTATGGCAATATTTTCAAATATAATTCCAACATTTTTAAGCCACAATAAACTGAAAACATGCATTTCAAGACACAATCAAGGCATAAGATAATCAAAACACAAAATACTCTCTTCCCCACACTTAAAATTCACAATGTCCTTATTGTGAAAGAAGGAAAAAGAAACTAGTACTCCCTATAAAGAAGTGGTGATGCAATTTGAAGCTACGAATATCATGAACATCCAAATTCTGTTCAAACTGAAACAAAGGATATGGTGAAACATAAGTAGCACAAGATTAACAAAAGAAATGAAGACTTCGAGATTTAAACATAATAAAAGCAAGAAAAACAAAAGACTTCAAAGCTGTTATGTTCACAAAGAAACAAAAGAAACATCATCAAAGGGATCTTCAAGGCTGTGTAGAATCAGGATCAACGCTCTCAGCAGCACCTTGTGACCCATGGGATGTGCCAATGTGGCCCTCCTCAGTGGTAGGAATCGAAGAAGGTGAACGACGAATGTGAAAGTGGTCCTCCATTGCTTGAAGACATCGATCATCCGTTGCTCATGCTGATCAATTCGCTCCATGACCCTTGTCTCCATACAACAGATAGCCTTGAAGACTTCTTGCCACTTGGATCTGGGAGGAGGTGGGGGTCGTGGAATGGGAGGAGGTGGAGTCGGCTGTGCCTCCATTTCTTGAGGTTCTTGATCTGGTTGAGAGTGAGGTGGAAGCTGAGCGGAGGTCGACGCTTCTCCAACGTCTCGAACCAAGGAGGCTCAAAAGTCTGTAGGGATACCCAAGAACCTTAATAATACAACATTTACCTTATCGACTGCCTTGGTAGTAAGGGTTCTCTCTGCACCCAATGGAACCTCGAGCTTCTCAAACAGAAGAGAGAGGAAGCGAGGAAATCCAAAACAAGTCTCACCGGCTCACATGTGTGCTGTAGTACGCATGTAGCTAATGATAATGCTTGTTAAAGGGATCCCTGTCAACTGTCGACCTATTCCATGTATCATCTTGTCCAAGAAATAGAGGTCACCATTACGCAGCTCCCTATTTCCACTCCTCTTCGGTACCACATTAAAAGCAAACAGATAGAAAATAATGTGGTACCTAGGTTCAAATGAATCTGCATATACTATTAGCTTCTTCGAACTTCTTCTCTCACGGTATTGACCCTTAAGACGTGATATAGCTTCTCCCACTTGCCATGGATCACGTGTCTTAAATTTTTTGGTCAATTTCACATCCTCCCTCGAATCCTTGATTTGGAAATATGTCGTAATTGTCCCGCGATGGATGGCAATTCGCTTTCCTCCAACTCAGGAGACAATTAGATTCCCACTGTGGCCTTGCTTTTCTTCAACATTGGCATAAAATTCTCGCACCAAATTGGGATAATAATGCTTCGGTAATTTGAGTATATTCTCCCATCCAAGTCGCTTAAATGCCATGAAAATCTTCTAGTGGTCATCCACCTCCGGTGCCAAGTGCTTTTCAATGATGATTTCTTTGGTTGATCCTGCCTTGTACCACTGTTGATTTTCTAAGAATGTGAATGCTAAGGTGACTCCTCACGACTAGTGGATGCTCTCTTCCGGCGTGACCGAGGAGGTGATTCCGGAGAAGGAGATTCCTCCACTGGCGAGAGAGACTCCTCAGGTACTGAAGGAGTACGCTTTTCACTTGTAAATGGTGAAGGTGTACGAATAGTAGCCCTTCTTATGCGAACCATGGTGCCTATATCAAAAATAATATCAATGCATATTAGAAACAATCCATACCCCTTGAAAATACACTTTAAAAATGCTGAGAAGTCATTTGAAAAAATTTCAGCAGAGTTTTCCCTTGAAAAAGGACGAAACGCCCTGTCAAGAATTACCAAAATTCAAACAAACCTCTTAACCCTTTATGACATCCACTCTCAACAATTGAAAAGCATATTTCGAATTAGAATCTCATTAATGGTATGAAAAATCCAATCACTTGAGAATTTAAGCTATATTCAAGAATAGAATAAAATCTCAAAGTAAAAAAAAGGACTTTCAAAGATAATGTGCAACAACTTTGAACCTTAACCATTACTTCAAAGTATCATCTCCATATATATTAGCAAAACATCCTCAATTGGAACAATTCTCAACGTATAGTAATTTCATCCAAAAATTACACACCAATCGGTTATACTGAATACACATTATCATCAATTTGCATAAAAATTAGCTCTAATTCTTAAAAACAAGTGCAAATTATCCCAAAGAAGCCAGAAATTTCATGCAAAAAGTTCAATTTGCTTTAACTTAATAATTGAGAAAAAATTCTACAAAAATATCACCATATTAACAAATTCTTCAATTCTAAGCATTCAAGTAATTCTAATGACAAATATTAGCACAATGTAACACAATTATAGCAATAAAATTCAACATACATGCATTTCCTAAATATATAGAAAAATAGAAAAAAATGATAACTATGAATTTTAAAATTTCAAAAAAAATTGAAAATTCTTACCTCAAGTGTGTAGAGTGATGCTAAAGGATGATAAGAATGCCAAAAATGAAAGAGAAACAGCCCAAATTTGCCCCCAAATTGAATAATTTCAGTTCGGCCGAATCTTGTCTAGAAGGATTAAAATCCCTCTTTGATGATGTTTTAATGCGAAAGAAATTGGGGTTAATGATCATAAGAGGTTTGGGGAGGTTTTTATGGTGAGAGATTGGAAGATTAATGGATGAAATAGAAGATTGAAGGAAGGAGGCTAGGGTTTCAGTAAAGAAGAAGAGAAGAAAGCTGAAAAAATGCAGAACCGAGGTTTCGATTCTGCTATATCCGCGAATCGATCCGATCTCGGTTCTGCTATATCCGCAAACCGATGGTTCGATCAGGGCTCGGATCTGCTACTCCAGAAGCACAGACGAGCCCTCGGATCCGACTGGACTTTTACGGATCCGAGCTCGAATCCGTCTTTTTCTGCAATTTTTGCAAAAACTGTAAATTTTTTTAATTTTAACAGCTTTTTCTACTAATTCCAAATTACACTTGTGATGAATATTTTCGCAATTTCAACACTACACGCAAGTGTAATATACCCTAAACACAAAATCCAGCCTCCCAAAACGCATCAAACACATCTATATTGCAAATAGAAGGTTGAGCTTTTTTGAGCATTTTGGCACTTTTACACTAAAATGGTACCTTTAGGCATGAAATGTACATCAAATGAGTCCATGAGCATATACAAACATGTTATCACCAAAACTTACTTGGATATCATAAGAATGCATAATTCATATTGGAACAAAAATTATTTAAACACTTAAAACAAATTCTAATATAAAACTTCCCTTTTTCTTGGGTTTAGCCTCTTATGATCCTTAAAGATATTCCTTTGAACCGGAAAAATCTACAAAATCAATTTTTTTATCATTAAAATCATACCAACTAATAAAACATACAAATTAAAACACATTAAAATAAAAGAAATCATTGGATTACCTCCCAATTAATGCTTTTGTTTATAGTCGTTGGCTCAATTCAAGGGTTGAATTCTCAAATTGAAGAAGAATCACCCAAGTGACATATAAGTTCCTTGGGAACAATTTCACCTGCTAAGTAGGGTTTTAATCATTGTCCATTGACCTTAAACCTTTCATTTCTTGAATTTGCCACTTCAACAGCTCCATAAGGATATACTTGAGTAACTTCAAATGGTCCCGACCATCTTGACTTCAGTTTTCCTGGAAATAACCTCATGCGCGAGTTGAATAAAAGCACTTCTTGCCCTATCTGGAATTGTTTAGGGATAATATGCTTATCATGCCAATATTTGATCTTCTTTTTATAAATTTTGACATTTTCATAAGCATGTAGCCGGTGTTCCTCCAATTCACTTAACTCAAGTAAACTCCTTCCTCTTGCAAGATTAAAATCCATATTAATTGCTTTAATAGCCCAATAAGCTTTATAATCAATCTCTATAGGTAAGTGATAAACTTTTCCATAGACTAAATGATACGGCGACATTTCTAAGGGTGTCTTAAATGCCGTTCGGTAAGCCCATAGTGCATCATCTAGCTTTGTAGCCCAATCCTTGCGTGATTTATTCATAGTTTTCTCCAAAATGAGTTTTATCTCTCGATTTGCTAATTCCGCTTGTTCGTTGGCTTGAAAATGGTACGGAAGTGATGTCTTGTACCTACAACTATATTTAAACAATAAGGAATCAAGTTGTTTGTTACAAAAATGTTTTCCGTCATCACTTACTATGCCTTTCGGTATACCAAATCTGCAAAAAATGTTCTTTTTAAGAAATCGGAGCACAATCTTAGAATCATTAGTAGGTGAAACGATTGCCTCTACCCATTTAGAAATATAATCTATTACTACTAAGATGTACTTATTATTAAAAGAACTAGGGAATGGTCTCATAAAATCAATACCCCATACATCAAATAACTCAACCTCCAAAAAGATAGTTAGGGGCATTTTATTTTTACGAGATATATTTTCAGTTCTTTGGTATGCATCACAACTTTTAACATATTCCCTAACATCTCGGTACATAGTTGGCCAATAAAATCTTGATTGCCATACCTTTGCTACAGTCTTTGAAGTGCTAAAATGACCGCCTGTTTCAAGGTTATGACAGTGATATAAAACGTTATGTACCTCATCTTCAGGAATATATCTGCGCACCATACCATCAGCACAATGTCTATATAGCAATGGTTTCTCTCAAAAGTAACTTTTGACATCATGCAAAAATTTCTTCTTTTGATGATAATTAAATCCCTTAGGAATTTCTCCACTTACTAAATAATTAGCAATATCTGCATACCATGGAGAATTGATAACTGCTAGTACAAACTCATCCGAAAAATTTTCTTAGATAGGAACTTGATCTTTGACTGGGATATATTCCAAGCGTGATAGATGATCTGCCACAAGATTTTCCGTTCCCTTTTTATCTTTTATTTCTACATCAAATTCCTGCAACAAAAGAATCCATTGAATTAGTCTAGATTTTGCATCTTTTTTATTTAACAAATATTTGAGAGCTAAGTGATCCGTATAGATGATAACTTTAGATCCTACTAAATAGGATCTAAATTTGTCTAAAGTAAATATCACCGCTAATAGCTCTTTTTCTGTTGTTGCATAATTGAATTGTGCCTCATTTAACAATTTACTAATATAATAGATGGCATGCAACCTTGCTTCTTTCTTTTGCCCCAAAACTATCCTAACCGCATAGTCACTTCCATCGCACATCAATTCAAATGGTAGTGACCAACCGGATGAAGTTATAATTGGATCAGAAACCAATTCATTATTCAACCTTTCAAAAGCAACTAAACAATTGTCATCAAATTGAAAAGGGGTATTTTTACATAATAAATCACACAACGGCTTTACTATTTTAGAAAAATCCTTAATAAAGCGTCTATAAAAGCCGGCATGTCATAGAAAACTCCTTATCCACTTGACATTTTTTGGAGGTGGCAATTGCTCGATGACTTCAATTTTTGCTTTATCCACCTCAATTTTCTTAGAGGAAATCTTGTGTCCCAAATAATTCCTTCGTTTACTATAAAATGGCATTTCTCCCAATTTAATATAAGATTTTTCTTCTCACATTTCTGCAAAATCAAATCCAAATTATGAAAATAATGGTAAAAAGATGACTCATACACAGAAAAATCATCGATAAATATCTCCATAATTTTTTCAATATAATCAGAAAATATAGCCATCATGCAACGTTGAAATGTCGCAGGAGCGTTGCACAAATCAAATGGCATCCTTCTAAAAGCAAAAGTGCCATAAGAACATGTGAATGTGATTTTCTCTTGATCCTCCGGAGTTATAGCTATTTGGTTATACTTTGAAAAATCATCAAGAAAACAGTAAAATTCATATCCGGCTATTCGCTCCAATAATTGATCAAGAAATGGTAAAGAAAAATGATTTTTTCTTGTTGCCGCATTTAATTTGCGATAATCGATATACACTCTCTACCCAACTACAAGTCTAGATCGAATCATCTCATCATTTTTATCCATAATTGTAATGATTCCATCTTTCTTTGGTACAAAATGAATTGGACTAATCCAAACGTTATCGGATATAGAAAAGATTATACTTGCGTCAAACCACTTAAGAATTTCATTTTTTACCACCTCTTTCATGTTTGGATTTAGTCGTCTTTGTGTTTCCACCATTGGTTTGCAATTGTTCTCCAATAAAATACGGTGCATGCATATAGAAGGACTTATACCTTTAATGTCTGAAATTGTTCATCCAATTACCTTCTTATACCTTTTTAGAACTCTTAATAACTTTGCACACTACTCATCATCAAGGTTAGTACTAACGATTACCAGTAAAGTGCTATTTTTTCCAAGAAATTCATACCTTAGATGAGTTGGAAGTGGTTTAAACTCTAATTTTGGAGGTTCAATTTTCGAAGGCGATGGAAGCCCTTTACCTTGGCCAAGACTTTCATAAACACTACACTTTCTATATGGTGCTTGAAAATCCAAATACTTGGCCACTTCTTCAAGCTCTTCACAATCTCCCTCTTGCATACCTAAACTCAATAAACAAAGCTCAAGCAGGTCGAAGTCAAAATTGACTCGACTCCATTCTTGGATTAGTTTATCAATGGTGCCAATAGAATAAGTATGATTAGTAAAAGAACGGTATATTTTCATTTCATTCAAATTAAATTCTATCTCTTCTTCACCTACTTGAAATTTAAACTTGCCATTTTTAATATCAATAATAGTATCTGCAGTAGTTAGAAATGGTTTATCTAGAATAATTAGTAGAGATATATCTTCTTCCATATCTAAAATCACAAAATTCACTGGAATGATAAATTTTTGAACTTTGATCAATACATTCTCCAACACTGCCAATGGATATCTAATAGACCTATTCGCTAGTTGCAAAGTAATATTAATGCGTTTTAAACTCATGCAAATCTAATTGTCTAGCCACCGTTAAACAAATTAATGATATACTAGCACCAAGATCACACAATACTTTAGAGAAATCAATGTTACCTATGGTGCAAGGTATAGAAAAACTCTCCGGATCCTTCAATTTCGGTGATAGCTTATTTTGTATGATGGCACTGCATTCCTCCGTTAATGCTATTGTTTCGCAGTCTTCCAACTTTCTCTTTCAAGTCATGATTTTCTTGAGAAATTTCGCATATGAAGGAATCTACAAAATAGCATCAGCAAAAAGAATGTTAATGTGCAATTGCTTGAAGATTTTAACAAAATTTTTAAAATTCTTATCAAATTTATTCTGCTTGAGTCTTTGGAAAAATAGAACTGCAGGAGGTATCGGAATGGTAACGGGAGATGATGGTTGATTTTCTCTTGGATTCTCCCAACTATTTTCCTCCACAATCGCCTCTTGATTCTTTCTCTTTTCTACATGTTTTTCACTCTCATCTTTCTCACCTTTACTCACAGGAGGATCCTCTAATTATTTATCACTACGAAGAGTAATGGCTTTGACATGCTCTTTAGGATTAACCTCCGTTTTGCTAGGCAATTTTCCTTGATTTCGATTGTTCAAGGAATTAGCAATTTGATCAATTTGAACCTCTACATTCCTATATATTATAGTAAATTGGTCCAATCTTCCTTTTACTGCTCAAATCTGTCCGAAATAACCTTAGCGAGTTTTTCCACCGCAATCTCCCAACTTGGTTTTGTTTCAATTTGTAGTTGCCTTGGTTGGAATTCCGGTGGGTTGGTTGGCCTTGGTTGATTACCTTGATTTTTCCATCCAAATTTTGGATGATTTCTCCATTCCGAGTTATAAGTGTTCGAGTTGGGGTTATTTTGATGAATGTGTTGATTCTGAGCAGGTATAATTTATCAACAATTTACGATTCCGAAATTGTATCTACATAACGATTTCTAAATTGTACCTCCACATATAGAGCAACAAGTTACATGTGTATTAGATGAATTTAGACCAACTCCACCTTGTCTACTTAGCAATTTCATCACATTATTCATTTGAGCATTCAGCATATTGAGAGTGTCCATTTCTATCATACCTGGGTGACATCTCGTATTACCTCTCTCATTGGCCTATTGATAGTTATTTGTAGCTATTTTTTCTATCAAATTCTGAGTTTCTTGGGATAATTTACCCATTAAAGTTTCACCTGCAACTGCATTAATCATAATTTTAGTAGAAAAAGATAAATCATTATGGAAGGTTTGTACGATTAGCCAATCGGACAGTACATGATGTGAACATTTTCGTAGCAAATCTCTAAATCTTTCCCATGCCTCATATAATGATTCACCTTCTAATTGGCTAAACTAGTGATATCCATTCTTAGCTTAGCAGTCTTACCCAGTGAAAAATACTTATTCAAAAATATCCTTGATAAATCATCCCATGTGGTAAAAATGTTAGAAGCATAAGAGTGTAACCAAATTTTTGCCTTATCTCTCAATGAAAATGGGAACAATCTTAGCTTTATAACATCATCACTAACTCCATTCATTTTAATTGTATCACATATTTCCAAAAATGTAGCTAAGTGTGAGTTAGGATCTTTTGCTGCATTACCTCCAAATTGAGATTGTTGAATCATTTGTATAAGTGATCGTTTAATCTCAAAATTGTTAGCATTTACCGTAGGTCTTGCTATGCTTGTTTGAGATCCTTGTATCCCCGGTAGAGTAAAATCTCGTAGAGCTGGCCTATTTGTTTCGTTTTCTGTCATCTCTTCTTCAAATGGTAACTCTATTAAGATTTCCTCTATCGGTTGCTAAACTTCTTAGTCCTCTTGCTGTGGTGTATGCCTTCTTTGTTTACGTAGTGTCCTTTCAATTTCTGGATCAAAAGGTGCAACTTTTCAAAATACCCGGTGCATACACTACAAGCAGAAATAAGAGACATTATACAGTTTCTATTGTCACAAAACTGATTAAAATGCAAAATTAACTATAAACAGCTTAACTAATAAAAATATAGCTGTCTAAAGTAATAGAGATGATTAGGTCCTAATATTGCTGCTCCCCTATAACGTCGTCAAAAATTTGATGGTTTTTTTGTTATATTATAAG